CCAGCAGTTGGCGTGGCCGGATACCACTCACCCTACCTGCACCCTGGGGCGACGGGCGACCCGCCACGGCCCCTGCCCCGCAGCTTCAGCCCCGTGCTGGGCCCCAGGCCCCGGGAGCCCTCACCTGTGCGCTACGACAACCTGTCCAGGACCATCATGGCATCCATCCAGGAGCGCAAGGACAGGGAGGAGCGTGAGCGCCTGCTGCGCTCCCAGGCCGACTCTCTCTTCGGCGACTCAGGCGTCTATGACGCGCCCAGCTCCTACAGTCTGCAGCAGGCCAGTGTGCTGTCCGAGGGCCCCCGAGGTTCCACGCTGCGCTACGGCTCCAGAGATGACCTCGTGGCCGGGCCCGGCTTTGGCGGCGCCCGAAACCCTGCCCTGCAGACATCACTGTCCTCGCTGTCCAGCTCCGTGAGCCGTGCACCGCGGACGTCGTCCTCCTCCCTGCAGGCTGATCAGGCCAGCAGCAACGCCCCGGGGCCCCGGCCCAGCAGTGGCTCACATAGGTCGCCTGCACGCCAGGGCCTGCCCTCCCCGCCCGGCACTCCCCATTCACCGTCCTACGCAGGCCCCAAAGCTGTCGCCTTCATCCACACGGACCTCCCAGAGCCACCGCCCTCGCTGGCCGTGCAGAGGTGGGTGCCGGGAGGTGCGGGTGGGCTTCCTGGCACAGGGCAGCTGTCCAGCCATCTGCAGGGCCCCTCTTGGCTGGGCACTCATAGGTCATCCCAGGGGCCTGAGTTTTTCTCTGGGGTTGGGACAGGGAGGATGCGCCTCGCCCTGCCTTGAAGGCCCTGGCTAGCCCGTGTGGCCCAGCTCTGAGGATGTCCTGGGCACGCTCTGGGGACAGGGTATGAGAATTTGTGTCCTCATCCCAACAACTCGTTCCCCCAGAGCTGGCATAGACCCAGCATGTGGGAGGCCGTGGGGGCTTTCTCCTTGGGGCCGGTGTCATGCGGCAGGCTGGGCCTTCTTTAGGCTGTGGCTCTGGCTTCCTGGGTCACCTGTCCACCTGGGCCTCTCCTGGACCTGCTTTGCTGCATCTCTAGGAGGCTGGGGCTGAGGACATTACCTAGCCGCAGAATGTGCCACCCTGGGTGACCGGTCCCTGGCCCTCCCTGTGGGACATAGGTTCTAGGAAGCAGGGGTTTCCCTGCTCGTAGGTGGGGAAACTGAGGATTGGAGAAAGCAGGCTGGCTCCAGGCAACCAGCAGGTTGGTAACTGAGACAGCGGGGTCAGCTGGCGCGCAGGCCCAGGCCCAGGTAGGAGAACTGCACACCTGCTGGGGCCAGGACCCAGGCCGCGGTGCATGGTGTCCTCATGGCGTCTGTCGCCCGGTCCAGGCCTGGAAACCTCAAGCACAGGCTCAGCTGTTTCCCGTCAGCAGATGCGGCCCCAGGGGGAGAGCCCAGCCCAGCCCAGGCCACTTGGCCACAAAGAGGCTGAGGGCACAGCAGTCCATCCAGCCCTGAGCAGACCTCCCCTACCCCACAGCGTGGGAGTCTGTCCAGCTTTTGTGGCGTTGGGGAGGAGGCTGCCATTGGCAGTGATGAATGGGGAGCCTGAGACCTAGAAGTGGGCAGCATTGCAGCCAGGCAGGGATCGCAGCCCTGGGACAAAGGGCTGTCGCCTCAAGAAGGTTTAAGCGGCAAGGGTGGAGCTACTGTTGGTCAGTGCTGGTGGGCAGGAGGGCAGCCCCTCGTTTTCCTGAGAGAGAGCAGGAATGAGGCCAGGCAGAGAGACCAGGCTCCCAGTGCAGGGCAGGGCAGGGGCTCCGGTCACTGTCCACCTGGCTGCCCCATGCTCTCTGGGGCCAGTGCTGCCTAGGAGGGACCCAGGGGCCCGGGAGGGTGGTGGCAGTTGTGGTGACATCTGTCTGTCCTGTGACGGCACAGCCACTCCCCAGGCAGGCTCTGCATCTCCCGCCTGCTTTCCAGGTGAACCCTCCGAGCCCAGAGGGCAGGGACTGCCTGGGGCCCCACGACCCGGCTACACTAGTCCACGTCTGCGTCGTCTCTGTCCTGCTGCCTCCTCTGTCCTCTGTCCCCATGTGTTCCTGTGTTCACCGTGTGCATGCGTGTATGTGCTTGTTTTGATGCAGGGACCACCCTCAGCTGAAGACTCCCCCAAGTAAGCTTAATGGGCAGTCCCCGGGCCTGGCCCGGCTGGGACCTGCCACCGGCCCCTCAGGGCCCTCTGCCAGCCCTACGAGGCACACGCTGGTTAAGAAGGTATCCGGCGTGGGTGGGACCACGTACGAGATCTCGGTGTGAGGACTGACTGCCACCCATCTGCCGTGGTGCCATGGGGACCAGGACCCCGCAGCGTGCTCCCCCCCACCGACTTCTCTGCCCCAGGGACAGAGAACCACCCCAACCTGGTGTGGACCCATCAGCAGGAGAGAGTGCCACGCCTCCACAGCTTGCCACAAGCGCTCTGCCTGCCCGTCCACTCATCTGCCCATGGGGAAGTCGGCTCACTGGGCCAAGGGCCACTGGGCTGTTCTGTGTCTGGGCCCGTCCCATGGCTGGGGCAGTGAGGGGCCCCAGTCAGCCTCTTTGGGGCACCCTCTCTCAGCCAAGCTTGGCCCACTCCCATCACCCATGCACCCCAGATCATCGCCAGGCCAGCCCCCAACGGCCCCCTTACGGACGGGTCCCAGAGATGGACAGAGGCATCCAGAGCCCCCCACCTTCCTTCCAACACAGCCTGTGGGCTCCAGGACCGAGTGTCCCCCGCCAGGCTACTCCTAACTAACGCGTTGCCTTTCATGGACCCCGCTGGAAGCTTGTAGCTTGGCAAGGCCAGTGCTTCTGCCCTGGCCTGCTCTGGGTGGTGGTGGATAGGTGGACAGACGGCCAGCCAGCCAGCTGTGGCAGGGGGCCCGGCTCCATGTGTCCTGTGTTGCCCGGCGGGCGGGCTTGTGTCCCGTGTCTGTGTGCTGTGCTGCCGCACCGTGTCTGATGTGTCAGTGCTCCGGCCGCCGCTGTCCCTTTCATCAAAGCCTTAACCTTTGCTTCATGCTCTTGTGGGAGGCGACGGGGGGCAGGCGGGAGCAGGCACGGGGGTGATGCTGCCACAGGGGGCCAGTGACACCCAGAGCCCCCTCCCCAGCCCTCAGGCCCTCCCTGCCAAACTGGAGAATCCCTGCCCCAAGGCATGCCACGTCCCCAGCCCTGGCCTGGCTGCGGTGCTTGCGCCGCGGGAAAGCACACTGGGGAGGGGTCCGTGCTTCCCTTGGTGTCAGGGACCTGAGAGTAAGCACACGACAGCGTCCGCTTGCGTTGTGTCTGTTTTATGTTTTTATATCTACATCTATATATCTATAATTTTATTAAAAAAAAGAAAAAGAGTTATTTTGATTCTTTCCTTGGGCAAGGCCAGGGCTGTTGCTGCAGGACACCCAGGTTAGGGGAAGGCAGGGGCCAGGCCCCAGAAGAGGGGGTGGCTGCTGTCTGGTGTGCAGGGGTAGGTGGGTTCCTCGGGGGCGTTTCTGCCGACTTGGGCCAACTCAGAGGCCTGCGAGGAGGGGGCGGCCAATGGTCTGTGGCTGGGAAGTGTGAGGGTCTCTCGCCTTGGGTCTGCGTCAGTTCTGGCAGTGACAGGGTGTTTACGGGAAAGATTTGGGTCTGCCGCTACCCACAGGGGAATCCCAGAAACCCAAGTGCTTGGGGAGATGAAATGGGGGTGCATAGGGGCCACCTGCTGGCTCAGGGCCCTGTGGGGGCTGCTGAACCTGCTGGAACTCTCCTGCCTGCCAAACCCCAGGGGCAGGGTTGAGGGAGTGTGAGGGATGCGCAGCTGTTCGGGGCTGAGACAGCCTGGGCTGGGGCTGTCCAGCGCGGGAGGCGTGCGGGCTGTAGGGCCCTGAAGCTGACCTCCACCTTTCTGCTTCTCTCTCATGGACGCCGCGGCCCACAGGGGGCGGATTGGCACCTGCACCCGTGGATGGGGGCGGCGTGGCCAGCCTTGGGTGCCTCCTGGGCTGCACCTGTGCCACCTTGGCCGCCCGGAGGACCGCCCACCACTGCGGGCCCCCTGGAGCCCGGCCGCCGGGGCAGCCCCACGCGGGGCTATGTGCCGCCTGCACTTGGCTGCCTCCAGTCTTTTCCCCAGCCTCTCCGGGCCCTAGCAGGATGACAAGTAGGCAGCTCTGGGGCCCGGGACAGCCCAGCTGGGGACCCAGGAGGTCAGACTACCATGGACCCTCGGGCAGGGCTGGGGGTGGGCTGGGCTCTCTGCTCCACCAGCCACAGCTTGACAGACTCCCAGCCTGCCAGGGCCCGAGACCCTGTGTCCACATGACCTCAGGAAGTCCCTCACCTGCTGCAGGGGGTCCAGCACCCCACAGGGGGCAGCCCCAGAGCTGTGGGGACCAGCACGACCTTTGCCCAGCCTCCCTGTCCAACCAAGCACTTTAGACTAAGCCACTTCCTCCTCGGGGAGCCCAGGCCTCCGTGGGTTGGGCTGGGTGGGGGGTCTCAGGTTGCCCCCGAAGGTCTCTGCACTCCTCCTGCCCTTCCCCTGACACATGAACAGATGCCTTAACTTCGTGGAGCTGCCAGCCTGGTGAGCCACTGGCCCCTGCCTGCCACCAAGGTCCTATAGTCATGGCCAGCTCTGCCTGGGCCCCACTGGGGCTGCCTGCACCCAGAGACGATGCTGCTGGGAGGTCAGAGGGCCCGAGGCCCAAGCCCTGTGTCCTCCAGCAGTGGTACGGCCTACAGCAGGGTGGCACTCTGGCCAGCCCTTCTCCGGCACAGGGTCCCGGTCCCTGGGTGCACCCTGGGCTGCGGCTCTATTTCTCCCCTTTGGGGACGAGAAAGCCGCAAAACTCTTCTCTGTTGTTCTTAAGGGCACCCCTGCTAATTAATTCCCCAAATAAAATGTTTGGTGTTGATCTCCACAGCTCTGTCTACCAGTGTGGCCCCCTGTACCGGACAGGGCCCTGGGTTGGGGAGGTGACAGGAGCTGGGCAGGGCGTGTGGCGGCTAGGCAGGGAGGGGAGTTGCATGAGGGGCATGAGGTCAGTGGATCAGCAGGGTCAGCACTGAAAACCTGACCTCTGAGGTCCCCGGGAAGGCCTGGCCCAGGGGGCAAGACCTGAGGATCTCCCGGTCCTCACTGCTGTTGCCTTTCAGCGGAGACCTTCCTAAGACGCCTTAGGAGTCAGAGCCCTGTGCAGAGGGGCTGCCTTCTGGATGGCAGGTGGGATGTGGGGTGGGAAGCCAGCCCTGAGGCTGGGGTCTCCACCCTGACGGACCCTCGCTGCTGGGTCACCCGGTGTCCCTCCCCCAATTTCCACAGAGACATGCTCACCGGCCACATATGTCATGACTCTATGTCCAGCCACAGGCCCAGCCCTCAGGACAGACCCCGCCTCCACCCTTCTCTGCAGCTCCTGGCAGGGACGGTGCACAGTGGTGCTATGTGCAGGGGGCCGGCGCGGCCACTGGGCATCCGGGGCAGTGCTGGTCGCCTGGCCTCCTCGCTGGGGCCGTTGAGCTTCCGGCCTAGAAGGGCAGGAAGCCGTCCACCTCGAGGCGCAGGAAGGGGTCCAGCAGGGCCCGGAGCTTCCAGACGGTGGCACGGCTCAGCAGGGGCGGCACCAGCCCCTCGAAGGGCGTGGGGTTCACCACGTACACGTAGGCAGCAGTCCAGACCAGCAAGGTGCCCAGCAGCAGCCTCAGGGTCAGCAGCCTGCGGGCGGCGGTGGTCAGGGGCAGGGGCGCGCGGGGGGCCTGGGGGCTGGTCTCTGCCGCGCAGTCACCTACCAGAGCTGGCCTGCCAGGCTCTTGGAGCTTCCCAGCTTTGGCCTCCCTTTCTGTCGGGGAGGGGCTGGATCAGAGCCCACCCCGAGGGTCCAGGCTGAGGGCAGGGATCCCTGGCTTTGGGAAACCCTCCTCAGACAGGGGTCCCCCCACCGCAACCCCGGCCCCTTCCTTCTGGACAGGCTCCTGCAGCCTCTTTTCGGATGCCCCCGCCCTGGGCCGCCCTCCTGGAGCCCATTTCTCCCCCTCGCCCAAGTAGGGCCCTGGGTGGGGAGGCTGGTGTCCAGACCCAGAGTGGGGCGTGGGGGGCTCACTGCCATGCTCACCATCTGCTGCTCCTTCCTGGCTCGAGTGCGGCACTGGGCCCGCTCCCTGCAGGGGCCTCACGGTCAGGATCGCATGCCCTCCACCCCCAGCCTGGCACCCACCCCCTGGCTCGGTGCTATGGAGGTGGGGGGTCAAGGATGGGTCTGCCCTGTCCTGACCAGGACCCCTTCCGAGACCTTGCTCAGCCGGCCTGGCACCTGCGCCCACGTCACCTGAGTATCTCCAGCTGGATATCCTCCATCTGGTCCAGCACACCCCGGATGTCCTTCTTGAGGTTCTGGGGGCAAGAGGAGGTAAGCACAGCAGGCCCCGGCCCCACCCTCCCCGGCCTCTCACCTGTCCGGCCCTGTCCTTCCGGGTGCTGTCCTGTGGGGACTTACCAGGAGGCCGGTGGCCTGGTTGTTCAGGGCCATGTGCATCTCAGCCACGCTGTCCCACACCTGGGGGGAGTGGGGTCACGCCTGAGGAGCAAGACCCACTGGGTGGGCCCCCAGCATCCCTCCCGCTCAGCCAGACGGGCACCTCTGTGATGACCATCTTCTTCCTCTCAAAGCACAGGCGGATCTGCTGCAGCTCGTTCTGAGGGTGGGGCCAAGGGTGGGCTTGGGCGGCATCAGCAGGGTGGCCGGTACCTCCCTGCCGGGCCCACCAGCCTGCTGCACGAGGGTTCCTCCCCCACAGCCCTCCCCCAGGCCCACTGGCCTGCTGCACGAAGGTTCCTCCCCAGTGAACCCCCCCAGGCCCACCTGGGACTGCTGCACGAAAGCCTCTTGCCCCTCGCACAGCTCCCGCCGCAGCAGCTGCAGAGGTGCCCTGTTCCCCAAGGGCTGCGTGCCAGCTGGGTCAGGGGGCTGTGGGAGAGCCCCCAGATCAGCCCCAAAGCTGTGGGCTAGTGGGGCGTTGGCTGCATGGGGTCCCTGGGCCCTGTACTTACCCAGGCCAGAGCAGTGCAGCTTGAGTGTTCGGGACACAGGGGCAGGAACTGCTGCCCCGGCCCTAGGAGGGCCCCCAGCTGCTCTCGAAGGTCCTGGTTCTGCCTTTTCTGGGGTTGGGGGCAGAGAGAGGGGACTGCCTGTTATGGCCGCTCCTGGGGCTGGGGCTGGGGCAGGGGTACCAGGCGGTGGGTGGGGTGCTCACCAGGCTGTGGTTCTCCTGCTCTAGCTTCAGGAAGGACTGTTCTGCAGAGCCCAGCGGCTCTGCAGAGGCCAGGGCCCCTCCCTCTGGTGACAGGGGTGGGCATGGGCAGGGTCTGGGCTCTGAACCAGTGGATTCCCCCTGCCTGGGAGCCCCCTGGTTCGACCCTGGGTGCAGGGGCCAGCCCCACCCAAGCCCTGGCTCCATGTCTCCTTGTCTCGGCCCCTCAGGGTCTCTCGCTCTCTGCTCCTGGCTGGACAGAAAGAGCCCAGGAGCCTTGCCCTCCACTCTGGCCCCCCTGCCCCCTGCCCCTGGGACTGGGAAAGGTCTCTGGGACTGCACTGAGTGAGCAGAGGAGATGGGGCCCAGGCAGGGCCACCCTGCAAATCCCTGGCAGGGCTGGTCCAAGTATTCTCCATGGCTGCTGGAGGCTGGGGCTGGGGGACACTGGGGGTGGGGGTGGCCACAGGGGCCCAAGGTTTTCAGCCCCTCCATCCCTCCCTGCAACCCCTTCCTGACCCCAGGTCCAGGCTCTGGCCTGGCCCAACCTGCCACCCTCTTACTGAGGGCTCTGGGTGACCCATTGGCTCCCAGGCTGCCCCAGGCAACAGTCACAAAGGCCTGGGTGCAGCCAGGGAGGTCACAATGGGCCCCTCCCACCTGGTTCTGAAGTTGTCCCGCCTGATGACCTCACTGCCTCTGACCCACCGACCCACGATGCGAGTTTTTTTCTTTCTTTTTATGGGAAGGGGCCTTGCTCTGTCACCCAGGCTGGAGCACAGTGACACAATGATGTCTCATTGCAGCCTCCAATTCCTGGGCTCAGGCAATCCTCCCACCTCAGCCTCCCAAGTAGCTAGGACTACAGGTGTGTGCAACCATGCCCGGCTAATTTTTTTTTTTTTTTTTTTTTTTTTTGAGATGGAGTCTCGCTCTGTCGCCCAGACTGGAGTGCAGTGGCCGGATCTCAGCTCACTGCAAGCTCCACCTCCCGAGTTTACGCCATTCTCCTCCCTCAGCCTCCCGAGTAGCTGGGACTACAGGCGCCCGCCACCTCGCCCGGCTAGTTTTTTGTATTTTTAGTAGAGACGGGGTTTCACCGTGTTAGCCAGGATGGTCTCGATCTCCTGACCTCGTGATCCACCCGTCTCGGCCTCCCAAAGTGCTGGGATTACAGGCTTGAGCCACCGCGCCCGGCCAAATTTTTAAATTTTTTTGTAGAGATGGGGGCCTCACTGTGTTGCCCAGGCTGGTCTCAAACTCCTGGCCTCAAGCAATCCTCTTGCCTCAGCGTCTGAAAATGTTGGAATTACGGACGTGAGCCACTGCACCCAGCCTGGTTATTTTTCTTAAGATGTAAAACAGATAATACACACACACACACACACACACACACTCTCTCTCTCTCACACACACAGTGTGGATTCAAAAAATATCAAACAATAAAAATGGTGTCCAAGACTTTCCCACCGGACAGGAGCCTCCTCTTTAAGCTCCTGGAGGTGGGCTGCCATCCTCTGCCCCTCATTCCCACTGAAGAGGTCATCGTGTAGCCTGCCCCTCGTTCCCACCGAAGAGGTCATCCCGTAGCCCAGCTTTTCTTTTCACCTAATGTATCTCTGAGGTTTTAAAACATTCTTTTCTAGCTATGTATTGAACACTTACTTTATGCCAGATACAGTGCATGCCATTGTTACCCTCTGTTTACGGGTGCGGAAGCTGAAGCAGGAAGCCCTTTAGTCACCTGCCGAAGGCCACGCTGTTACCGGTGGGACGGGATTTGGGCGGCTGAAGAGCACTCATGCAACAGTGGGGCCGGATTCACGCCCCAGGCCCGTTCCCTCCTGCTCCCTGGTGCTCCTCACGCCATCGGCCCCGCTGCCCCTCACTGCCCCTGAGTCCCAGTGCCTGTGTATTCCTTCTTGAATCCCTCAGCCCTCAGTTAACCCTCAGAAAGCTGGCTTGGAGAAGTCCTCGTGTGGTAGGAACAGCCCCGTTCCCTGCTCTCTCGGTGTCCTGGCCCTGCTGCAAGGTGACTTCGCCTCCTACATCAAAAGGCGGGTCCTGGTCTCCACCCCGGGCTCTGGGCCGGCCTTGGATGCACTTGGCCAACGGGATGCTCCTAAGCTGCTGTGGGTAGAGGGTGGCACGACACTTGTGCGCTGGGACTGGACCTCTCTTGCTTGGCTGTGGGGACTGTCCTCTCTGCAGGAGGCCTGGGCTGGGCTGCAGGATGAGAGGCCATGGGGCAGGAGAGGCTTCTGTCAGCCCAGCTGGTCCCCAGCTGCCTGAAGATGGGTGGACAAGCCCCAGAGAACTGGCCCATATGGCAGCCAAGTTGCTGGCCATGTACCGCCGAGCCCCGGGCTGCCATGGTTGTTGTACCACTGAGTTTTGGAGTGGGCTGTGACGTGGGAGGAGACACTGAGAGGTCTCACAGGCCTACAAGCATCTTACCCTGACCTCGTGCCTGCTGGACATCGGGCTGGGGAGAGAATCGGGGCCAAGGGCGTTTTCCCACAGGACTGGAAGGCCGGTCGTGGTCCTTGGTAGTGAGAGCTGGCCGGCCGCCGGCCTTCTCCCCGGAAGCCTGTAGGGTCCCCTCTGATCCCTGCACCTCTGGGGGTCACACCAACTGTGGGTGATTCCTTCCTCACAGTGCTGGGTGCTTGGTGAACACATTCTGCCTCGAGACCTGGCATTTCTTTGATAACATTTCTTCTCATTTCCTGCTCATTCTGGAACTCCTGTCAGTCAGATGTTGGGCCTTTTGAATTGATCCTGTGAGTCCTTCTTCCCACCTTTGCTTATAGATAGACTTCCCTGAATTCAAACACACACACACACTCTTTCTCTGCTTTTTAAACAATTGGTTTTGGGGCAGGACGTAGTGGCTCACACCTATAGTCCCAGCACTTTGGGAGGCCGAGGCAGGCAGATCACTTGAGGTTGGAAGTTCCAGACCAGCTTGGCCAACATGATGAAACCCAGTCTCTACTACAAATACAAAAATTAGCTGGACGTGATGGTGGGCGGCTGTAATCCCAGCTACTCAGGAGGCTGAGGCAGGAGAACGGCTTGAACTCAGGAAGCGGAGGTTGCAGTGAGCCGAGATTGTGTCACTGCACTCCAGCCTGGGCAACAGAGCCAGCCTCTGTGTCAAAACAAATAAATAATAAAAATTAAAAATTGGTTTTGGATTTTAGCAGTCCTGTTTTTCATTTCCAAGACATCTCCATCGTTCCCCAAGCTCCCCTCTTCTTGTTCCAGAGAATTCTGTTCTGCTCTTACGGATAAAGTGGGTTTGGGGGAAGGCAAATCTTTTCTTTCTGCATTTTCTCTCTTGTGGTTCTGTTTTGTTTAGTCTTGGAACTTCCCATGAGACTCAGTGCTCAATGTCTGGCTTTTCCTTCTTTTCGATCCCTGTTTATAGGGGAGGCAGGCAGAGCTGCCGGGCACTCCTCTCTTCTTTTTAACTTGAGGAAGCCGGACACCCAGGTCTTGGGAGGGAGTCCTCCTGCCTCCAGGCGGCATCTCGGACTGCAGGGCTGCCATCTGGAGTGGGGACAGTACCAGCTCCCACTGCTGTCCTGCCATGCTTGTTCGCAGCACGTGTCTCCTCACACCAGTGACGAGGCCACTGCTTGGCTGCCGCTTGCCTTCTTCCTGCCAGGCTGTCCTGCTACGTCAGCCTCCACTCTCCACCTCAAGTGTCTCGAAATATCTTGTCTGCAGATGACCTCTCTCCTGTTCTCGGTGCCACATGGGGCCTCCCCAGCAGAGGCGGCTGGACACCTGGTCCTGGCTGCCAGAGGCTGGCTGTTTAGCTGCCAGAGGGTGGCAGCAGCCTCTAGGACCCTCTCCTAGCCTGTGCCCTTTTCATTCTTTGCTGGAATGTCATGGGTCTCAGGAGGTGCTGAGCTGAGAGACCCCATGGGGCAACTTGGGATGGGGGCTAAGGAAGGCCTCTTGGAGGAGCCCTGAGGCGAGGTGGCCCTGGGGTGGGGTGGAGGCGGTCCTGAGCAGCAGGGGCGGGGACTGCCCCTTGCTCTCTGTGTCCCTGAGTGAGTGGGGCGGGGGCTGCCCCCTGCTCTCCGGGTCCCTGAGTAAGTGGGGCGGGGGCTGCCCCCTGCTCTCTGTGTCCCTGAGTGGGGTGGGGACTGCCCCCTGCTCTCCGGGTCCCTGAGTAAGTGGGGCGGGGGCTGCCCCCTGCTCTCTGTGTCCCTGAGTGAGTGGGGCGGGGGCTGCCCCCTGCTCTCTGTGTCCCTGAGTGGGGTGGGGACTGCCCCCTGCTCTCCGTGTCCCTGAGTAAGTGGGGCGGGGACTGCCCCCTGCTCTCCGTGTCCCTGAGTGAGTGGGGCGGGGACTGCCCCCTGCTCTCTGCATCCCTGAGTAGGGTGGGGGCTGCACCTGCTCCGTGTGTCCCCAGCCTGCTAGGTGCCCCACAGGGGCCAGGATGCTGAGGAGGGAAAGGTCTTCATGGAGACGGGTGGCCCCTGTAATAAGGAAGACAACACTGGATTCCTGGGCGAACAGCAGGGCAGGGTCCTTAGGTCCCAACATAGGTGCCCAGGCCCAGATGAGATTCCCCAGTGGCCCCGAGGGGGTGCCCGGGACACTCTGGGTGGCCCAGTGTCCTCCCATCACCCTTGCCCCTGGGCACCATCCTCCTTGGCCTGGAAACCCTGAGCTCCCTGATGCCCCCGCCCCTCTCCCTACCTGTGCCAGGGAAGGCTGCTGCTCTCTGTCAGCCCTGGAGCCCCTCCTCCCCCAGCTCCTCTCACCCCTCCCTGTGGTCCTTGCCAATCGCCCTGAGCCCGAAAAGGTGGGGGACTCTTGGAGAGACGGGGTCCTGGATCCCCAGCCCTGGGGTCCCCTACTCACAGGGTCAGATACGCTAACAAAGGCCAAGCACCCTGCCAAGCGGTGTCCTGGATTGGGGTGGGCATGGGGGTTCGCCTCAGGTCCAGGCTCCGGGATGTCGTGCAGGACAGGGCGCGGCTGCGGCTGTGGCAGGGGCACTGGTTGGAAGCCGGAACTCCCGGCCTCGAGGGCGGAAAGTGTGGCCAGTACAGCGTGCTGGGGGGGCCATGGCCCCGTTGCCAGGCAGCGCCTCCCTGGACGCCAGTTGCCATGGAAGCCGGTTCCTGCCCATGTTGCCACGGTGTCCAGGTGGCCTCGGGGAGTCTGGTTCAGAGGGGCCGCCCTGTGCCCTTGCCTGTCCTCCGCTGCCCAGGTATGGGCTGGGAGGGCAAAGAGGAGGAGAGGCTGCGACGCCCAGCATGGAGACCCAAGTCCTTCTTGCTGGAGCTGGGCTGCGGCCCAGAGCAGGGGCCAGATGTGGCTGTTCTGCTGTCCGCACTGCGGACTTGATGTTCATACCCCAAGCTCATTTTATTTATTTTCTATTTTTATTAAGACAGGGTCTCACTCTGTTGCCCAGGCTGGAGTGCAGTGGTACGACCACAACTCACTGAAGCCTCCAACTGGGCTCAAGGGATTCTCCCACCTCAGCCTCCTGTGTACTGGGGACCATAGGTATGTGCTACCATGCCCAGCTAATTCATTTTTTTTTTTCTTTTTTAGACAGAGCCTTGCTCTGTCGCCCAGGCTGGAGTGTAGTGGCCGGATCTCAGCTCACTGCAAGCTCCGCTTCCCGGGTTTATGCCATTCTCCTGCCTCAGCCTCCCGAGTAGCTGGGACTATAGGCACTCGCCACCTCGCCCGGCTAGTTTTTTGTATTTTTTTAGTAGAGATGGGGTTTCACCGTGTTAACCAGGATGGTCTCGATCTCCCGACCTCATGATCCGCCCGTCTCGGCCTCCCAAAGTGCTGGGATTACAGGCGTGAGCCACCGCGCCCCGCCGCTAATTCTTTATTATTTTGTTTTTGTAGAGACTGGGTCTCGCTGTGTTGCCCAGACTGGTCTTGAACTCCTGGCTCAAGTGATCTGCCCGCCTCAGCCTCTCAAAATACTAGGATTACAGGTGTGAGCCACCTCGCCCATGCTTGGCTGCTTCCAAGTATATCTCAAAAGCCAAGAAATAGGCCCTGAGTGGATGGAACTTGGGGTCACTGGGCCAGCTCCAGCCCTTAGAGGACTCCATCTCTGTGCCCCCTAACCTGGGCTCCTGGCCCACACCCTCCAGGCTGCCTGGCAGGGTCTGCTCCCTCTCCAGCCCTCGGAGCTGCCCTACGTGGGGGGTTGGGGGTCCCAGAAAACCTGGGACCAAGAAGGTGGACTAGCCAAGCTGCAGGCCCTGACGTGGGCACTACCCTTCATGTCCTCCCAGGGCCTGGGCTGTAGCCTGAGGCGTAAGCGCTCCTTTGCCTCAGGAGGGGAAGAGGTGCGTGGTGGCCTTCAGTCAGGCCCATGGGGTTCCAAGAGTGGTCTTGGGCCTGCCAGCTTCCCCTAGACTCACAGCCAAGAGGACGGGTCTGCGGGGGGCTGTGTGAGGGATGCAGTGGCCTGCAGAGTGCCTCGCCCTGTCCAGGGCAAGGGTGGTGAGTGGACACATGCCCTGAGTGCCGGGCAGCCTCCTCTGCCTTCCCACCCTGTGGGGCACCCCTGAGGGGACAGAGAACAGATGGGGGCTGGGTCCTGGGAACAGGGTGTGGGGGAAGGGCAGAGTGCTGGGGATGCTGGGCCCACACCTCCCTGTCCCTGGGGCTTCCCCATGTCAGAGGCGAGGCTCAGAGAGGTAAGGGCGCTCCCTTTGTCTGCCCTGTCCCCAGCATGGCCAAGCCGCTCCCAGGGTGCGGGCGATGGCAGGCCATTTGTCTCCCTCCTGAGTGAGTCTCTGGACACGGATTCTCACATTTTTTATTTAAGAATCAGAGAGATATAAGAATGTCAAGGAAAAATCCTCTCATGGACAAGGCAGCCCCAGTAAATGACTGTTAGCCGGCGTGACCAGGGCTCCAAAGCCTCAGGAGGTGGCTGTGCTGGGGCTGCCAGGCCTCTGGCTCCAGAGTTGCCCGGGCTGAACTGAACATACCCACCCCTGCCCAGGCCCAGGGACACCCTGCCCCTGAGGAGACCCCCGGTGTGGCCAGTCCACCTTCTTGGCACTCCCTGCCCACCTACCCCTTCTAGTCGAACAGTGGAGCTCGGGGGGTACAGGGTGGCAGAGTGCCTGATGGTTGGTGCCAAGGTCATTTCCCAGGTCCTTGTTGGGGCCAAGAGCCAGGACTCCTTGCCCATCCCCGTCACTGCCCTGTGCCCGCCCAGCACCTCCTGGGGACTAGGCTGCCTGTTGGAGCAGGAAACACAGTGCTGGGCTGTGAGCCCCTGGGGCCTGTCTCTGTGCCCCAGGACCAGGCTTCTGGGTTGAGGGAGAGACCAGGGGCAGGTGAGGAGCGGCAGGGCTCCCGGAATCCCTCCATGCCCGCCCGTCGGTCTCCAGGACTTGTGTGCACGTACAGGCTGGAGCTGTGGTGCAGTTCCCAGTCTCACCACCAGATGGCACCATGCCCCTACAGAAGCAGTGCCCAGCGCAGGCCAGGCGGTTCTCGGGAGCTGCAGTGGGGGCATCCGCCCAGCCGAAGCTCTGGCAGGGCAGGGGCAGTGCTGGGAGAGCCCCCTTCCCACTTGGATCTGAAGTTCCCATGGGGGCCTAGGACAGGGGCTGGCCGGGAAGTCAAAAGTTCCCTTGTTGGGTCGAGGGTGTCTATCCCACATTTCACATGGTGAGGAATCATCCCAGACACGCGGGCACTGTCCCGGGGCTGTTTGCTACCCCTCCCAAGGGGCAGGGCTCCTGTCCTGGGGCCTTCCCAAGCATAGTAGCCTTCGGGCAGCCCCGGCCTGGCCCCAAGTTGTCCCACTTGTCAGTGGGCAGCGGGGTCTGGAGGAGGGGTCCTAGCTCCTGTCCAAGGTCGTGACTGCCCCTGACCAGGGTGTGGCAGCCGCTGTGGCCTGGGTCAGTGAGGCTGCGGCCAGAGAGTGGCCCCG